CCCTCCAACTCTGGCTTCAGGCTTCCTTCTACACTCGGTTGTCTAGGCTGGAAAGCACAGGCCCCAGATTGAGGTGTGGGATTGATTGCCCCTTGTTACCTACCAAAGCTGCAAGGTGTCAGAGTCCTCACTTGGGGAGTCACAGGTAGCAGCACCCAGAGGCATGTGTGTGCCTTGAGCAGTCCCAGACACCGAGATGCCCTCCCTGAGATCCCATGTGGGGAGCAGAAGCACATGGTCCTCTGGACCTGGCTTCCTGTGCCAGGAGCAGTTCTTCCCAGCCTTGGGTCACACGCGGCTTGGTTTGTCTGAGGAGCTCTCTTTCCTTATTCAAGACTTTAGGGCCACGCGAAGTTCAGTAAAGCTTCTGGGCCTCTTCAGCCGCTGTTCCTACGAAGCAATGGAGACAGGCCCAAAGGGTGGAGGTTGTGTGACAGTCAGGAACGGGGGTTGCCAGAAGGCATTGGACAGGGCAATCTATGACAGAGGAGAGATACTAAACTCCATGCCAGCCTGTTTAGAACTAAGGAATGGTCAAAAAGAAAGAAGGAAAATAGGAGAAAGTAGGAGAAAGAGTAGATTGTTAACTCCTGGCCGTCTTTGCCCCAAGGCCTCCCCGGGCCCCTCCCTTTGCAAAATAGAAATATTGCAAAAATAGGCCAGCGCCATTTTGCTGAGTGCTGCCCAAAGACCAGAGAAAGTGCTGTCTCCTCCCCTCATCTGAGGGCCGCCTGGTCCCTCCTGAAATAAAGCTGGAAGAGGTGATGAAGGCAGCAGGATGGGCCAAGAAGGGGCAGAGAGCAAGCTAGTGGCATGGTGAGCCGGGTCCTCTTGTAGTAAACCTGCCAGTAGTCCTGCTCCTGTGAGCTTTTCCAGGCCCAGTGGGTAACTGGGGTCACTAACGTTTAAGGAATCTCACATATGTGGGCAGGGATGGCTGGGGAGGTGTGGGGGCCCTGGTGGAGAGACCCACCAAACTGCTTTCTCTGGGAGAAAAAAATGGTACCAAGGCGAAGACAAAGTGCTGTGGTTAACCTGTAGCTGGCAAGGAGGGAAGATGAGGTCTGGTGTCTGGAGAGGCCAGGGGAGGCCACCTGACCCAGGGGAGCAGGTGGCTGGACGCTGCTGGCACTTTGGTTGAGGGGCACTCTGTCAGCCGACGCCCTGCATGGTGGGCAAGAAGCTTAAGCGATGTCTCGAATCAGTGGTGGGGACTCCAAGAGAAGGCTGCAGGGGGCTGTGGTGAGGACCGGGCGGGCTGCCAGGCTGGTAGCAGGAGGGAGAGAGACCGGCAGACCTGGGACGTGCGTCGCCACGGCAGGTGGGGAGGACGCCAGGGCCCATTTGCAGGGCAAACCCGAAGCGCAGCCGCGGACACTCGTGTGCGTCCCGACAGGCGCTCCTAGGAGCGGTGGCCGGCGCGCGAGGGCACGGGGCAGCGCCAGGCTGACGTGCGTGTTTCCCCGACACACCCAGCCCGCCGCCCTGGGAGTCCTTTCTTCCTCGGGCTTAAAAAGCCAAAACAACAAAATGAGAGGATCTCGGTTTGAGAGGGAAACAAAACCCTTTCCAGCCCCCAGCCCGAGGCGGGTGCGAGAGCGCGCGGCCCGCCAGGCGCGGCCCCGCGGC